TTCTTCCTAAAACTTTTCTGACAATAATTTTGATATACACATTTCCCAAGATAAATAAAGGCATTCAGGTCGCTTAATATGTATTTCCCAACTGTGGTAAACAACATTATTTAATGCATTTCCATCTAAGACAAAGGATATTTTACTATCAAATCTAAAATAATAAGAGACACATTATCTATCCTAATCTTTATAAAAATAATTAAGGTCTGAGAAGGTTCTATTATGAGTTAAATGCACCAAAACCAAGACTTGAGCATTCACAATTCTCAGTTAAGGATACAGTATTTAAAAGCTTCAGAATATTCACAAGTAAAGACTTAAAACATACCTGTCATCCAAAACAATAATGATTTCACCATGTTTAAAGGTGAGTTCATTGTCCTCAACAGCTTCAAAATCATACAAAGCTCTCACTTTCCGTGCAACTTTATTATTTAACTGGATTTCTGCACTTGGATATAAAGATTTTGTCTCTGTGTATTGCTGTTTCTGCTCTTGTAACGATAATTCAATAGCTAGTTTGAAAAATTGAAATAAAAAAATAAGATAGTCAGGATTAATTCTGATTTTTAGAAAAGTTTAAAAAGAAATATTAGATGACAATGTAACAGCTAACAATAAACCAAGTGACTATTTGTCAAAATAAATCCTAAACAGTTAACTTTCTTGGGGGGCACAGAAACATTTTTTAAAATAAAGTTTTTGCTCATTCCTTATTATCACAGTCTGTCATATACAGAAGCTATTATTTTTATAGCAAACAGATTGTGACATTATAATATGGGTAGTTTTCCATATAGGACAAGCCATGAACATATTTCTGCACTTGACTCATAACGCTGGCATTAAAGAAAAGGTGAAATGTAATCTCTCCAAAAGTAGGACATTAAATATATATTACTGAGAAGGAAAATGAATTATGTTCATCTTATGTCATTTGTTTTCCTGACTTTTAAGAACCTGAAAAATTTTAAATTTGAGATAGAACTAAAAGTATTCCCAGTTTTATTATAATTTTTATTTCAATAAAATCTTCTGGTAAGGATATTTTAAGTAGTATTAAATTATACATGCTTGATCATTTACCTTTAGCTATGTCTTCATCTTCTTTGTTTTTGTTCGATGACGTACCATTCTTGGCAGCAGCTGAGACAGTCTGTAAATGTATGAGTAAAGTGAACACCACTATCCTTTCAAAGAAAACACAAGCTCTATACTCTGTAATTACCTGCAGATGATAATTTAAAAAAATACTGATAACTGAATTCCATTTAAAAGTGAAATTCTTTGTAATTGTAAGTAGCTGTTTTCAAATACTACAACAAAATATCAGAGTTTTCAAGAAAACATAATAAATGCACAAAGGACATGGACTGGCTTACATTTTGCATAAATCTAAGAATCTGACATAGAACCTGGCATCCAGAAAGTTCTGAAATATTTACAGACTGAATAAATATAACTTTCCTGATTGCATTTCCTGTTCTCAACAGTCCAAAGTCTCTTACTCAGTGAGAGGTGCTATACTGCTGTCAGCACACCCGAGCTTCACACGTGTAGAGAAGTTACCATCAGAAATCATGAGGGACTACTGAACAGGAGGAGAAGGAGGACAGAGAAACAATGGGATTCTAGGGATCCATCAGAAGTCCTTCTCTACTACTCATGGTGGCTTTTCAGGCATGGCAGAGGACTAAGGAAGGTCATGCTTCAATTGAAAGGCACATAAGACAAGCATCTAGGACTCTGAACAATCAACCAGTTCATTAATGCAGATTTTTTTAGAATGATATACAGAAAGGACAGATCAATTCCTTTTTATTACTTACAAGACTTTTGTCTCAAAGCTCTAACTTGCATTCTTAGACCTGAGCAGCTGTAACACTCTTTCTGTGTCTTTAATGCATAGTCTAAATAAAAGAAAATATGTACCACCCTCCTACTCTTTCTCCAGCCCATGTCCTAATATTAACTGGAGGACAAAAGGTGCTGAGAGCAAAATCCAAGATAGAGTACTTTTCTTCCACAAACCTAAAAAAACAGCCCATTCTATGAGTTATTATTCCTACCTTCCCTCATCCTATTAAAACTATCCCCTATCTCTCCAATTTCTTGTCTTACAGTTCTAACCCATCTTATATGTAAACTATTCACTTTAGGCAGATTTACTCTTCAACAAATAGTCCTCAATAGCATATATATGTTCATGTCATTCCTCCCTGTCATCACCTTCTCAATCCACTCCACCTAAAAAAATACATTCAAGTCTCAAAATTCTACCTTTTCACCTCCTCTCCCTCTTAATCTGTAGTTCCCTCTGTCTCTTTGGTGCTAAGGGAGATAGCATCTAGTCTTTGTACCCTTCATAGCTTATATGTCACTTTCAATTCAAATTAGTTATGTTTTATATATATGGCTACCCTTCAAATTTGCCCTAAGTTTCTTGAACATAAGGGCTACCTTATGCATGTAAGCCTTTTGCATGGTTCCAGACTTAGAGTAACATTAGATACATTACAAGCCTGGTTCACTTTTCAAAATTCTGACATGTAGAAAAATACTTAACAATTAGAATGTCCACTAAATGTAAGGTACTACATTAGATTGGCACTTAGGGGATGAAGTGGGAAATGATGACCATGACATCTCTTGCTAGTTTGTACGTGTATATATATATATATATATATATATATATACCTTCAAAATAGTATATGGCTAACCATGGATCTGAGTGAATCTCTTACCTGAGAACCTGCTGGAGGAAAAGTAATTCCTTCTTCTTTCATAGATTTAATAGTTGCAGATATTAGACTAAACTGAGGGTCCTTCTGAAACTCTTCTGACCATTCCACCATTAAATATTTCAGTTTTTCACACACTTTAGGATGAGCCTTTTAAAGAAAAGACAAAGGGAAACCCCAAAAATGCAGTTAAAATAAGTCTTTAAATTATTTAACTAACAAACAGATTACTACCAAAACTGTCTTTAATTATCTGAAAATCAACAGAAGTCCAGCAATCTCTAGTCTAGCTAGGTAATTGATACCTGCCTATTTACATGTAAAAATATAGTTTTTCCCTGTAAAATCACTCTTCTGGAACATCAATTTCCAAGTCTTGCCATAATGACTACAAATCTTTTATATTAGATTAAGATTTTTTAATCAATTTTACTAACAGCATAAAAATGGCACTTCAGAATTTTTGTCTCAAAGAAGTCAGTAACAACCCTAACAGAGTCCCTCCACTCTGCTCTAAAATAAAGGCCCCTTTGTTCAGTCAACTTTAATGGAAGTCAGTGCAGAATGGTGGTTGAAGTTTGGGGTCTAGAATCACAGAAACCTAGATCTGAATCTCAGCTATGCACCTCCTAGCTGCATAGCCTCGGAAAAGTTACTCTTCTCTAGACATCAGTTTCTGGATCAACAAAGCAGGAAAAGAGACTCAAACTTCCAAGAGTTAAGAATAAACAAGGCAGTCTACATAATACGGTTACAGCAGTGACTGTGTACTAGACCTTGACAAACATTAGCTCTTACTAATAGTGTAGGTGCTTTGGGGAAAAAACATTTTTGGTGCTATAAATATTAAAAATCAAACTTCAGAACAAGTTTTCATTTCTATTTATTTAAAAATGGTTTCATTTCTAATACAACTTTATTATTAAAAATAATGCAAAATATACTTTTTAATGATTTAAATTTCTTTTCTTGTTAAAATTTACCTTATTTTTTATCACAGCACGTACTTCTGTTGCAAAATCACGGGAGCATACTTCCAAATGAAATATTTTTCCACAGTTTGCCACACAAGCCCCAAGAAGCTAATAATTAAAATAAAAATTAACAAAGAAATATTGAAATAGTAACTTACTGAAATAAACACACTTTTAAAGTTTGGGTCACACAACACAACATTTACTCACAGTTAACGCCTGCAGAGCAACATGAGGGACCTTATGATTTACCCTTTTCATTATGGCTTTTAGGCAATCTTTTGCTCTAAAAAAAAAAAAAAATAGAGAAAATTAAGTGTTTTTTGAGAATTTCAACTCAAACATTAAAAAACTGGCATTTCCTATTTTTTCTTATTGGAGTGTTCAGCTAGGACCTGAGCACCTTAACGAAAATCTATTTTTACTATTTGTATCCTCCCTATCTATCTGCTGTCTGACATACACAAGCAGCTGAATATTTTTGAAATAGGAATTTCCTAAGCAAACTGGCTTTAAAAATAAAATCCTGGAAACTGCTTGGTAAAAGAGTAAGTCTATAAAATAATTTTATACACTCTTCTGTTCAGACTCATATGACTTAAAAACAATTGCAACAATTGCAAATATTGCAGTATTGAGAAATCATTTCAAAAAATCAACACAGAGAAGTATATCATACTAACTCTTCATTTCTTTATGACAGCTCTCAGACAGCAAATTCTCTTCTTAAAAGGACTAGCAGGATACATAATTTTAAAAGGTTCACTTACAGACATGTGAGTGCACTATGAAAAGGTGAATGTCAAAACAAAGGTTTTCATCACACTTTTACACTTCTAAAATGTAATCCTCAAAAGCACTGTTTTTACATTGACTTTTTTCATGTTGTTACCTGCTACATTTACAGAAGATTCTAATGCATGTCTAAGTCACAAGGAAATTCCCCAAGTTAACAAGCACCCTGTTCTAGTGACCCTTTAATCAATCATCTATGTTAATGGAGCTCACTTCAGTTCAACTCATTTCCATTTGTTCTTTCAACATAAGGTTAATCTCCGAAAACTGGCATACTGGATCTCTTTACTTCAATCTCCAAAAACTAAACAGTTTAGTTCAAATAGTAGTTTAGTTTAAACTATTAATGTGATGATTCACAACTACTTGAGAGATGGAGATCAAGAGGATCAGGGTTCCAGGCCAGCCCATGCAAAAAGTTAGCAAGATCCCATTTCAATCAACAGGCCAAGTGTGGCAGACTTTGCCTATAATCCCAGCATGTGGGAAGTTGAAGCAAGAGAATCATGAGTTCCAAGCCCACAACACAAAAACAGGGCAGAGGGGATGACTCAAGTAGGCCCTTAGTTCAATCCCCAGTACTAAAAAGAAAAACCAAAAACAAAACCCTAATATCTCAACTTCCTTTCAAAATTCCATCGCAGACACAGGTTAGTGAAGCGCTTGGACATTCACTGGGCATCTCACCCATTAGGCGTGCTTCCCACTTTGTCACATATGTCCATAATGAGACTCCAATCTTCGGTGCTGTTGTACTCACTGGTGGCTTTTTCTAGAAAATACATTAACATACACAAAAATGAGGACTTGTCTTACAAAACACTAAAAGACCAATAATGGTTTAAAAGAACTATGGATGAACTTCAGAAGATAAGAGTACTAACTTCAACTTTAAATTGTGTAATTAAATGAAATGAATGTTCTCAAGTATACCAGTAAAATGCCTTCTAAACAATTAAATAAATTATGAATTATTAGTAATCCCACCAAATTCTAATTTGGAAGAAAGCTTTAAAAATGAATAATCATATAGAAAATATACCCTAAATTATTCATTGAAGCATTATTTTTTAAAAAGGGAAACTGATTAATAGAATAAATTCATACAATGGAATATGAAAAATGAGGTACCTAAAATTAAATATACAAAAATGTACAAATCTCAAACACAAATTTCTCATAAAAAGCCCATAACTGAAGGATTTATGACAGTCACGTGAACTTTTTTAAACAACTTTATTGAGATGTAGCTCAAAATACAATTTAGGTATTTAAAGTGTATAGTTAGGGAGCTGGTGGAGTGGCTCAAGTGGTAGAGCATCTGCCCAGCAAGCATGAGGCTCTGAGTTCAAACCCCAGTACTGCCAAAATAAATAAATAAATATAATAATAAATAAATATATATAATAAACTATATATAAATATATAGTTAGTATATTCCCAGATTTGCACAATTACCTATTATCCCCTAAAGAAATCAGTCATCATCTATTCTCCCCTCATAACAACCTTGTGTCTCTACACATTTACCTATTCTGGTCTTTTCATATAAATAAAATCATACAGTATATTTTTGTGACTGGCTTGCTACTTAGTATTTTCAAATTTCATCCATGTTGTAGCATGTATCAGTATATAGTTTTTTACTGCTGAGTAATATCCCATTGTGCAGATATACAACATTTTATTCATCTATTGGTCAGTTTATGAACACTGAGTTTGTACTTTTTTTTACTTTAATCATATTAATTTCTTCTATTACTCTTTCTTATTCCCCCTCTTCTTTTTGAACCCTTAATGAGTTTCATTATTTTATTTTTATACACGCATATAATGTACTTCCGTTGTATTTACTCCTCCTCCAGCCACTGGCTCCCCTCAGCAGAACAGTCCCCATTTTTTGCTAATATAAACAATACATTGCTTCTATGAACATTCATATATGAACTTTTCTATGGGCATATATATTTTTTTAATTTATTAGCATATAATATTTGTACAGGGGAATACCTTGTGATATTTACATATGTGCTTCAATATATCTTAGATTTCTCCCCTCCATCGTTCTCCCTCTTCCCCTTTCCCCCTTCTTAGAGCAATTTCAACAGATGAATGGACATGTATTTCACTTCTCTTTGATACATAGTTAACAGAACTGCTGGGTCACATAGTAACTCTTTAATTTTTTAAGGATATAACATTTCACATTGTCATCAATAATATTAATTTTGTTGTTTTCTGAGTCAGGGTCTCATTTGCCTCTCAAGTGCTGAATATGAGAAATCTTTACCTAAAGTTTTAAAATGCTCAAAAAATACAAGTCCAGTCACCTATAATCCCAGCTATTTGGAAGGCAGATATGCGGATCGTAGTTCAACATGAGCCTGGGGTGGTGGAGGGGGCAGTTAGTGACACCCTCTCTCAAAGCATAAACCAGTCATGATGGTGCATGCCCATAACCCCAGCTGTGCAAGAGGTGTATGTAGGAGGCTCACAGTCCAAGAATAGCATTCTATCTGAAAAATAACTAAAACCAAAAAGGGCTGGGAACATGGCTCAAGTGGTAGAGTATTTGTCTAGTAAGCAAAAAGCCCTTAATTCAAAACCCTAGTATATCCCCCCAATACATTATATTCTTTAGGGATATATACACACACACACACATATTAGGGACATAGATAATAAAAAATATAATATATATATAGTAAAAATATTAAACATGCATAAGAAATGACAAACATTAAGCTGGAGATGGAAGACTCAACATAGGGTACATATTAGCTTCTGTTTAACTTGTACAATATGTACCCAGAAATTCTTTATTTTATTCTCAATATTCTTCTTGTGGCCTCAAATATCTCATAATCAAAATAAAAATTAAACAGCAAGTCACTTAAAAGCATTATCAGAATATAATGATCGAATTACAGCATTTTCACTACATTAATTTTTTTTTTTTGAGCCAGGATCTTGCTAGCCTCAAACTTGTGATCCTCCTGCCTCAGTCTTCCAAGTACTGGGATTATAAGCATGTACCATCATACCCTCCTAGTATTAACTTTTATAAAATTCAATATGAAGGGAAACACACAAGTTTTTTCCTGCTATTATAGAGGAGTAAAGATATAAAGGTAGCACTTTAGGAACACTATATGGGGGCCAGAAATGGTAGCTCACTCCTGCAATCCCAGCACTAGGGAGGCAGAGGCAGGAGGATTACCAGTCCACTCCAGCTTTGGTTATGTAGGAAGACACTGTCAAAAAGAAGGAAAGGAGGCAATGGAAGAAAGGGAAGGAGGCAGGGAGGGCTAAAGGGAAGGGAGGGAAGGAGGAAAGAAGGAAGATTTTATGTCTTTTCCCTTTTAATAAATATAGCCTATAATTTCAAATATAACAAAACCAATACACAAACACACACACACACACAGCAATGATAAGCAGGAAGGATAGAGGGAATCTAGAGTAGTTTCTTTTTTATGATAAGGAATAATGTTTAAAAAACAAAAATAAACAACAGCCGGGCACCAGTGCTGTATACTGTACTTTTAGCTACTCAGGATGCAGAGATCAGGAGAATCACAGTTCAAAGCCAGCCCAGGGCAAATAATTCCCAAGACCCTGTCAGACAGAGTACTGACAGAAAAAAAAAAAATACACCAAATCCAGTTAACCTTAGATAAATGCTGGTACTGACTTTTTAAAACCATGTGTGGGGAAAAGTGGTACATGCCTGTAATCCCAGCACTCAGGAAGTAGAGCCAGAGGTTTGAGTTTGATCCCAGCCTGGGTTACACAATGAGATCGTCTCAAAAAATGAAAGGCTGGGGATGCAGCACCACGGTAGAGCACTTGCCTACCTTGCACAAGGTCCTGGATTTGATCCCCCAGTACACATACAACAACAACAAAAATTGCCAAATACTATTTATGAGTGGAAAGCAAAATTATATATAGTATTTTGAAATATGTGATGAAATAATCAGAGACTTTAAAAAAGTAATACATATACATATATATAAATTCTAGACTGAGCAACCAAACTACACAGGTAAAATATATCTATTCAAGTGTAGCTTCTTTCATTGTACAAAGAAGATTAATTCTTCTACATGGAAAGCCAATCCCAAATTTGTTAATTGTTTCTTCATTAGCTATCTAATAAATTCAGTGAATTCCCAAGAAAAAAATGGAAACATAGTTCTACCAGATCCCTTTAAAACTATGATGTATATCTTTCCAGACCTTTTTCTATACATGGATATGGAAAAATTTAAATCTATGTAAAATTAAATGAAATAGGATCACAGTCAAAGGAGGACAGCCACAAAATTGACAATCCTTTCAGAAGCTAAATTATGAATAGGATGAATATTCCTATAGGATGAAAACAAGGAATAAAACCTCACAGTTCCAGCCAAATGGGCTTGCTATTTTAAACTGCAGAAGCCGGCATGCTTAGTACAGATGGGCAGGCTTCTCCTTGCAGGGCTAAGTCCCTGCACAGTGAAAAGCCACTCAATGGTGAGGGAAAGACTAGCTAGTCCAACATGGAAGAGGGACCCAAGTAGGACCAGCTACTCTCAAACTTTCCAGTGGGGTAAATCATTAAACCAAATGAAGTGAATCAAGGAGGAAGGAGGCAAGCTCAAAGTGGCACTACCTAATTCCCCTCTCAGAAAGGAAATCTCAGAGATAGAGAAAAAGTTCTGTCTCCTAATATTATGATCATACTAAGTGTATTCTTTCCTAACATACATTTCCACTTACAAATATTTCTTCGTGTTCATAAATATATACCTATACCAATATTTTAATAGCTACATAATATACCATTACATGTGTGTGTTTATGTGAGAGAGAGACAGACAGAGACAGAGAATGAGAGAGAGACAGAAGTGCCACACAGTCACTACACATGCTAATGAAAAGTTATCAGAAAACTGTTGCTTAAAATGCATTAAGTACTCACTCTCTTTTTGCTATGGGTACTACTGATTTTCACACTTCATATACACGAAATATTAAAATAAAAGAGGACAGGATCTGCTGGGTGTGGTAGAAGACCTGTTAATTCTAGTACTTGGTAGGTTGTACAGGGCCAGCCAAGGCTACATAGAAAGACCCTGTCTTTAAAAATCTTTAAAAAAAATTTTTTTTTAGAGGGTAGCATTTCATGTATATACCATTCTGTAGAAGTTTCATAAACACTTCATTTATCATGCCTATTATCTGCCTCTTCTACCTCCCCAGAATGAATGCAAGCTCCGTTATGGCAGGAATTTTTGTTCACAATTGTTATTTCTAGTGTATAAAACAGAATCTGGGGTACATAGTAGATATCAATAAATATTTGTTCAATAAGTGAATGAATGATGCTGGCAGCTCTTCCACATCCTATTATGCTGATGGAATGGCTGTAATGTGGGAACAATGGGCTTCTTAGTATATTAACTACAAGAACTCTTAACTCCAATGCCCAGAGTGGCCCCAGTGAAGTCTGTCCACAGTTCTAGACTAGCCTGAGCCTAACTGCTGAGCCAACAGCAATAGCAACACCATGCAACAAAAGGCAGCAGAAGCCGTGGTTCCAGTCTCTGCTGACTTGTTTCAATCTCTGGGAGATTGAAGTAGGAGGCAAAGTAAGGCCTCAGACAGGAGGAAAGGACTTCTTATAGAAACAAGTGACTAGCTTTATATTCTAAGTCTGAACAGCAAATTATATGCATTATATATAATCTGTCCTCTTGATTGGGTTTTGCTTGTTTTTGCTGT